ATAAAAAGGAAAAAGAGAAAAAGAAACAGACAAACGGAAAGAAAAAAGAAAAGAAAAAAAAATAGTGCGTCATTGTTGAGGGCCAGAACTCGAAATGCCGGGAAGAGAAGAGAAGCGACGAGAGATACGAATATCCTTTAAAAAGCGAATTGGTTAATGACCATTCATTTCATTATTTTTGCCTTGATAACTGAGCCCTACCATTTTATACGGTAATAATTATTCAGTGCTCGCATTATTTTACCAATTCTACGACCAGGACCCTTTTCACTACTGCTACTACCACAACAACATGAAAGTACACAGCTAAACCGTTATTATTGCTATAACCGGATTGCTATTACTACTACAACACAGTGTGCTACTACTGTCACTTCAACTAAATGTTTGGAGAAAAACTCCCCTGTTTCATAGTCACAGTTAGATAACTGTAATTATTTCTACAACTCTTCTAATGGAACTCGAAGTGGAACTTGCTATCCATCCATTTATCCGTCGATACACTCCTTACCAATAAAAAAGAGAAAGGAGAAATTTATTCCCCATATACAACACGACTATATATAAATATATATTAATAAATTTAAAAAAGAAAAACTTAATAAAAAGTCTTTTTGGAAGAGATGTTCTTCTCTAAGGATTAAAGCAGTTCAATTCTGTTGCCATTCTTGCGTTACTTACAAATGGGTAAGTAAAACCGACTTTACTTTATTTTCAGAGTTCTTAAACAGTCATTTCAACACTTAAAAAAAAAGAAAAGAAAAACAGACATTTTTTTATACCAATGAAACGTCTGTCTTTTTCTTCTTTTTTTAATGGTTTAAATTTTAAGAGAAGCTCAGATTGTAATAAGCGCTACGTGAGTATTCCATGTTTAATCATTAGTTTTACTACAACTGTTTCAAGAAAACACAAACCTTTCTTTCCCATCTTTGCATATGTGATTATTATTCAATTCGAGTAAAGTCAATGCTTGATTGCTGGAGCGTCAATTGTCGTCTGCTTTCTTCCTGAATTTGTCAACAAACAACAACTTCTCTATGTAAACAACACTTTCTACAAGAAGCTGCTAAATTTTTCTCTCACGTAATAAATGACCAATTACTGGACAATAACGTTCAGTTATTGGCACCAAATCGGTGATGTTCGATTATCAAAAATTAATTCTCTTAGAAGAGATAATGAATCAGAGAAAAAAAGACAAGTCGTATACTTGTAAAATCTTATAGCCAGGAGATATTTAAAAGTCGACAACTGCTTCGTTCTATTTGTAAAGTGTATGTTTTCCTTACTGCAGCTTTTTTTTTTTTTGTAGAGTTTTTTTTTGTTTTGTTTTGTTTTCTAGCGGAGTTTTTAAGACGATAAATATTTTTTTAATTCAAGAAAAGAGCCTGACAAAAAGTAAAAAATATTGAATTGATCACTTAATCCAATAATTAATTTCTTTTTTTTTTTCAAAATAAGAAACAATAAAAATGTCAATAAAGAGAAATTATAACAAAAGGAAAACTTGAAAAATGATGTTTTAATTTTTATTTCTCACCCTCATAACCATTAAATTTTGAAAAAATCTTCTTTAAAAAAAATGACCGCAATAAAGTGCTATTGATTTAAATACACTTTCTAAATATGGATTTAATTTTTATTTTTAATTAATAATTTAAAATTTACTATTTTTCCTACTTGTTTTACGTGTTTGTCAGTGAGATGATGGAAAACCTGATTGTATATTTTGACGTAAGGGTCTTCTTATCTTACCTAAAATTATATTAGTTATCAGATAAACTGACCGAAAAACATGCAATGATCCATAAAGAATTACATTTCAAATCTACTCACACATAAAGTCGGTAACGTACGCCTAAAACCCCGACGCACCCTCATAATTCATTCAAATTCCACCACCACCCTACGACATACACATATTTTCTAATATATTTGCATAGATATATACACATAATTATTATTAATATATTATTTGCCTAAGAGACACCCATACGTTTACGTAAACATATTATTAGTATATTCGACTTTGACGAACCGAGGTAGGCGCTGTGCATGAAGGTTTTATACAGAGTGAAATAATTTCTCTCTCTCTCTCTCTCTCTCTCTCTCTCTCTCTCTCTCTCTCTCTCGTTTTATTTCTCTGTGTAGAGATAAATTTTTCAGAAGAGTCGAGCATTTTTGTGGGCAGTACCGACATAATTTACGACAGAAACCATTATAATCATCATTTATATTTCTTTCCCTCATCACCAGTTTACTTTATTTACCTGGGAATCTAGCTGTCGCTTATTTTTGACGGTATATAACATCAAAGGCACAAACTCCGAATAGGATTTTTTTCTCACTCTCTCTCACACACACACACACACACTTTTCCTTCCTTTTTTTTAATTTCTTGACTGTTGTTTGAACTGGAGAAAAAAAAATTTATGCTTAAAAAATATGCATTTTACATCATTTAGAAGGTAAGGTTCACTTTTTTCTCTCCCCTACC